GGTAGTCCTCAACGTAGGATGGCAACTGAGCCCAGAATTAATGTTGCTAAGTGAGAAATGATTTAGAAATTACTTGGGACGTGGTGGCTCAGTGGCTAAGACGCTGAGCTTGTTGATCAGAAAGGTAGGCAATTCGGCAGTTTGAATCCCTAGCACCGCGTAACGGAGTGAGCTCCCGTTCCTTGTCCTAGCTTCTGCCAACCTAGCAGTTTGAAAGCACATAAAAATCCAAGTAGAAAAATAGGAACCACCTTTGGTGGGAAGGGAACAGTGTTCCATGCGCCTTTGGTGTTTAGTCATGCCGGCCACATGACCACGGAGATGTCTTCGGACAGTGCTGGCTCTTGGGCTTTGAAATGGAGATGAGCACCACCCCCTAGAGTCGGGAACCCAAACACCCACAAAACAGCAGGCTGGTGGGAGGCAGGTGCGCATGCATGGCAGAACTGAACTGGGGTGATGGCTTGTGTGCCTGCAGAGAGGTTCTGCGTGCCAACTGTGGCACATGTGCCATATGTTCGCCATCATGGATATAACCTGTTTCCCTGAAAATAAGACCTCCCCGGATAATAAGCCCAATCTGGCTTTTAAGCGCATGCACTAAAATAAGCCCTCCCCCGAAAATATTGCAACATGGCATTAGCCATGAGGTGACCACGTTAGCCGCCTCCTGCACCTCAAAAATAATAAGACCTCCCCGAAAATAAGGCCAAGCGCTTATTTCGGGGGTCAGAAGAAAACAAGACCCTGTCTTATTTTAGGGGAAACACGATAGGCAGTTCCAAGTTGTTGTTATTCTTAGAAAGAGAATCTGATTTAGAACAGGGGCCACTCCTATCCCAAACAGCAATGTCAGCCAAGGTAGAAAACTCTTATCTCTTCTCCCTTCACAATAGCACTGAACTCAGCAGCTGCTTAACTGGAAATTATTTAACTTTTTCACTTGATTGGGAGATTTGTGGCTTTTAACAGCCAAGTTTGTTTTCCACTGTGGGATAGAAATTTAAAATCCAGCATCTGTGATGTGCACTCCTGCAAGCAATTAATCGTGGCTTGCAGAATCCCCCAACTTAAACCTGCCTGTAGAACATGCTTCTATATATAACATTAAATCACCTCCAGATGTTCTCAACACATACAAGCTGTCGCTTGGGGTTTTTGTTAGAGAAAGAAGCCTGGGTGGCACTTATTTCAGGCTGGCATTTTCACGGCACGAAGTACCTGTGAATTAATTTTTACTTTGCCCTTTTTTGCAAAATAACCCACCGCCACAACTGCATTTCAAACGGCGGATGGGAAATAATGAGGAGCTGTTTTAAAATGTCGGAGCTGAGCAGGTTCTCTCTCTTTTTTTTTTTACATTTTTGCTGGCAGTTCCAGTGACTGGGTGCTTTGTCTAAAGCAGAACTTTCCCCCCCAAAAAGGGGAAATGACAACTCCACATATCTTCTGCACCACCTCTCTTGCTCAAAACTTGTTTCTAAATATTAGTCTCCTATAGCAGATGGTATATAAGATTAAACATTGAGAAAAATGGAAAATGACCAGCTGCAATTTGTTAGGCTGCTGGCTGCAATTACATTACATGTACATTCATTTTAATTAAAATTTTAATGAAATAAAAACTTCCATTGCACAAGGCGGTTACATCAGAATCAGCAATGAAAGTTTTTATTTCATTAAAATTTTAATTAAAATGAATCTAGGACAAACATAGGTAAGACACCTCCGTGCCCACCAATATCAACAGAAATTAAATTTTCAGACATCTTGGAAGCAAATAATATCTTGCAAGATGTATTTATTTATTGATTAATTGAATTAATATAGCATTACTCCAGACAGCTCATTGTGACCTAATTATATTTCAGTGATCTAAATGAAAGACTTTATCTGTTTGCTCAAGAAATTAAAATATATGGAGCCTTGGAAACTTCTTATGCAAGCTGGCATGTATTTACAATAGTTGCAGCATCCCTGGATCAGGTGATTGCCATTTGCACACCTTTCCAGGTAACATCTGACAAGCCAAGTTAATGGATTCGCTTAACGACTGCAGCAATTCACATACCAACCATTACAAAAGAGTTTGTAAAATTGGTTGACTTAACAACTGCCTTGCTTAGCAATGGAAATTCTGGTGCCAATTGTGATTGTAAGTTGAGGACTTACAAATGCCAGGTAAATACCAGGTGATAAATACCAGGTGCTTACAAGGCCTTTCTCAATCTTGTATAGCTCTTCTTCCCACCCAAGAGGCTTTCTAGTCTCCCACATTGCAAAAGAGGACCATTTTACTCTACTCAATTCTATATTCTCTTCCAAGAGGCCCTTTTTATATTCCTAGACCAAATCAAGTCCAAAACCGGTAGGCTAGGGGATTTCTAAAGCCTGGTATTGGTACAAATTAGCCATCAACAGGCACATAGAAATAAACAGTACCTACAGAGTATGCAAAAGAGACAATCAACAGGCCAAAAAAGAGAACCAGAAAAATCCAAACATATCCCCACCAGCAATCAGCACCCAGAAGAGCAGAGATGGACACCAAGATTAACACCAGACCAACAATCAAGTAAATACCCCCATGAAGAAACTGCTAAAGAAGCCGACAATAAACAACCCAACCAAGGAACCTCTAAGACAATGATGCCAAACATTTTTCAACACTGAGTGCCCAAATCAGAATGTGCATGCATGCACACTGGCCAGCTGGTCTTTTGCAGGCACCAGAGCGCCAGAAAATGGTGTGAAAAACAGCCTCAAAACAGCCTAGAAAACAGCCTGAAAAAGGCCAAAAAACCACCTGAAAATGTTTTCCGGGCCATTTTCTGGCACTCCGCGCTCACAAAGACCAGCTGGCTGGCATGCACTAGCAACTAGAAGAGTAGCTGGCGATGGCGCATGTGCCTACAGAGAGGGCTTTGTATGCCACCTCTGGCACGCTTGCTATAGGTTTGTCATGACAGCTCTAAGACTACACCCACCAATAATGACAGGGCAAGCCACTAGAACAGGGCTGTCAAACTCCCGGCCCATGAGCAAGAAGCATCACGCACTGGCCATGCCCACGCCCAGTTTAGCAAAGGGGGGGAAAGTCCCAATACATCACATGATGCCATTGTTACGTGCACTAGAATATAAATATACATTCAGAGCAAATCCCACTGCTTACTAGCACTGATGATGTTACCTAAAGGTAAAGGTAAAGGTAAAGGTTCCCCTCGCACATGTCCACTAGTCGTTCCCGATTCTAGGGGGCGTTGCTCATCTCCGTTTCAAAGCCGAAGAGCCAGCGGTGTCCGAAGACGTCTCCATGGTCATGTGGCCAGCATGACTAAATGCTGAAGGTGCATGGAACGCTGTTACCTTCCCACCAAAGGTGGTCCCTATTTTTTCTACTTGCATTTTAATATGCTTTTGAACTACTAGGTTGGTAGAAGCTGGGACAAGTAACGGGAGCTCATTCCATTATACAGTGCTGGGGATTTGAACTGCCAAACTGCTGACCTTTCTGTCCGACCAGCTCAGCGTCTTAGCCACTGAGCCACCACATCCCACTTATTTAACTTAAGTTAAATATATATGCTACATAAAGGCACATTATAGGAATAGCACTTACATATCGCTTTATAGCATTTTCTGGATGGTTTACAATGTCAGCATTTTGCCCCCAACAAATCTGCACCCTCATTTTACTAACCTTGGAGGGATGGAAAGCTGAATCAACCTTGAGCTGGTCATGATTGAATTCCAAGCACTGGACAGAGTCAGTCTGCAATATTGCATTTGAACTACTGTGCCACCACAGCTCCCTTATTACCAAATTTTTCAGAGTATAAGATGCACCTCAAAAAAGGCTGAAAATCTGGGTGCGTCTTATATACTGAATACAG